TTTTTCCATAAATGGAAAAATTCGAGATTTTAACTTAAATGGAAACTCCTAATATTCAGGATCGTCCTCCAACAAACGGAATCAAAATCCGAATTTTATTGAATGAGATATTACCAAAATAAAAATTACCATAAACGACAAAAACGCTTAATCGAGAGCCTAACGACAGAATCTGGCCGAAATCCGATGTACGTTTCTATTTTAGGTTATGAGTTGTGATCATTGGCCCGTTCCCAATCAAATTAAACTATCAATTCGTCAAAAACGGACAAACCCGAAGTTATCATGAAATCATTATTTTGCCCTGCGATCTCACTTCATCATAAATTCTAACTCTTTATGCACTTCATCATTATAATGTTGTTTTGTATGTGGATAACAAAAGGACAAGTTTAACAATGCGGGAACGAAGTTAAACAAAATAACTACTTGGTATAAACTAAAACTAAAAATTAAGAAGAAGAATGGATGAAAGGATTCGAGGCGAGTGATAATACTCTTTCCTTGAGACAAATTTGTCCCGCAACGATGCTAACGAAGTAATGGTAATTGTCTCCCAAGATACAATGAATTACTTTCTTGTAGTAGAAGCACTTCAAACTATAAGGCAACCACGAATTTGAACGGATTTTTCTTTCTACAAAGAATGATTTTGAATGCAAAATTTTGGAGAGTTTTGACAAGAATTTTAATGCAAGATTCAAGAATATGATTTGAGATGCCTAAATGTCGTCCAAAGAGTCCAATATATAGAGGTTGAAGGGTTGTGGACTAAAAGACACGCCCTAAAACTCAGCAACCTTTATCAAGTATCACAGCCTTTCCTATCGTTCATCTGCCACCCATGCGTTGCTCAAGCACCAAAAGCAGAAAGTATGTCGCTGCTGCTTGAGTGACAACCTTAGGTGCTGAAAATTTGATTTTTTCCTCTAATTTTGGACTACAATTTCTTATTCATTCGGAATTGATTTTGAGATTCGAAATATATTACAATAATCTACTCGACGAGTACAACAAGTTCACCTATTTATTTCCATAATTTGACTACCTGATCAATTCTAAATATTTGGTCGAAATTGACAAGAAAGTCACATTTCACATTTTTCAAGGTTTTATACCAAACCAATTCCATATCTTTTAAACCAAATTCCAACAAATGTAATATGCAAGCTCCAAAGATATCTATGTGAACAAAAATGAACAATGAAATTTATTTAGCTACATGAGAACTGTACCAAAACTATAGCAATGAAAATTATTCTTAAACTAGAATTTGCAAATCATCAAAACTCTCGAATCTCCTTAGTGAAATTAATTATTCCTCTAATCTCGAATTTGCTAATAATCAAAACTCTCAAATTCCCTTAGTCCCATCCAATGGGGAAGATAAGACAGATGGTATCATCAGAAATGAATCCACGTAGTTAAAAAGCGTTGCACTTGAGGACAAGAAATCCGTAGAATTCTGATTGAAATTGGGTAAACTTTTGAAGCAAAGATTAGAAGGATCATAACAATTAGAATATACCTGGCCATTCCTTATAGTATTGCTGCTATCATTCTCATTATTCATGATATCTTTATCAGGGTTCTCAATATTTTCATCACTTCCGGTCTTGGATTTTTGTTTAGAAGACTCGTTGTCATCCTTCGAGCATGAGCGTCCAGTGAGTTTTTGCACCAATGTCATGAAATCACGAGGGTTCGTGTGTATTATCTTGGGAGAATCAGTGCAAATGATAACTGGGTGTTGCGGTTGAGGTTTGGACGTGGTGGCAGCCACGCCGTTAGCTATGGAGGAAGTCAATCTTGATACAGGCGATTTCTTGATAAAATGCCATTCATTTTTTATCTTCAAAGGCGATGGAGTCATAGGGTTGATTCTCTCTGTAATTTTTTTTTTTTTTAAATCTAGCTTGCATGTTTGCTACCCTTAAAGGGGTTACTTATAAGAAAATATGTAGGTTTAAAGGAAAAAAACTCAAAAGGACTAACAAGTTACTTATTTTGACGTAGAGAAAAAAGTAAGATAAAAGCAGAAATGAGCCCAAACGTCCCATTTCTTCTGCAGGGTTGTGAATTCTTTCATTTTAAAATTGGTAATTATCTTTGACAGTGTTCTAAAAGATATAATACATAGAGATGTGTGGAGGCCAAGCTATGGACAAGACGAGCTTAGGTGATGTATATGAGTAAAAAATGGTTTTCTTATTTCAATATTATTTTAATTTTTAATCAATCAAAAAATCATTTAATAATTAAAAATAATACCTATCAAACATCTAAAACAGATTTATAGAAGTTTTAAACATTTTTTCAAAAGTTGCCAACAAAAAAATATAAATTTTAAATATAAATTAACATTTAAATTTTAATTTAAAACATTTGTAATTTTTTTTTTTTAAAAAATAATGTGTGCCAAGCGGTC